GTAAGCTTTAGACTCATTTGTAGTTGGTTCAAATCTTGTGTAACTGGTAGCATAAGACTGCACTAAAGACAACAGTCTCATGGTTTCACAGTTTGATACATCAAATCAAACATTTGAAGAATTATTTTAAGTAATTATTATACAACTTGATTGATAAATAAAATTACTTACTCTGATTAATATATTCAAATTGTTTATAAGAAAAATGTACTGCATGAATATGAGGGATGCTTCCTCATTTGAAAATTCAGATTCTATGTTTTATATAAAATAGAAATACTCCATAAATAAAGTACTGTAAAATACTTTATTTTAGCTGGAATAAATTTTCGCTGAAAAGACTTTTTTGGTGTTTTGTATGAAATTTATTTTCAATGATTTTTGATGAGTTGAATGTAAAATATAGGAAAAAAGGTATATTCGCTGGATTTTATTTTCACTGACTCATTCCTTCAGCGAAAATTATTTCCAAATGAAAGTAAAGTATTTTACAGTATATTTCTTGATAGTGACATTCTATCACTTGATTCCAGCAATAACCAGATTTGAAAACAAGCAAATGATTAAATTGAGATCTTTGTCTTATTTTTGTACCTGTAACATAAAAATCACACCAATTATTTATAGATGATGACACCAAAATTCGCACACAGAGAAGAAGTTTACTATGACACACACGATTAAGTTAAAGCAGGGGGGGAGTTGTCACCTGCGCATGCAGATTTTACAAATAGACACGTAAGCGCAGGTGAGATCCCCTCAGCTTCAACTATAGAGCTTACCAATGAGAACAGTAGATGCGGGAAGAAGAACTGGAACAATAAACTCAGTTGCTAAGCGACTGATTTTTCTTGACCAACTTTCTCTATCTGGGGGGATATTAAGATCGTTCATCTTTAAATCTGAATTAAACAAAAGTTTTGATTATTTCCAAAATGTTATTTAATATTGTTGGATATACAATGCATACTATTAACAGAAAGAAAAAAAACAACATTAGGTTTGAGATAAAATGATAAATCAGATATAGAAAAGAGATTTTAATATGATTCTAGCAGTATCAAAAAATTTACTGGAACATTTTAAATTTATGGTAAATCAATTCCCTATCACAATGCAATTCGAAGATTAATATTTAAAGGCACAATATTGAGAAGAACAGTTAAATTTTTAATATTGTTGTTTGTTACTGTTTGTTGATGAAGACACTGGACTATGATTTACCGTTCCTTGGCTAATGACGGCCAAGTGAATTTCTAATATTTTCTGGAATCTAACATTTTGGTTTTTGGTGTAATTTCAACTGATCAACCGGTCATTTGGTCGTCACGGGACTATATTCCAGTCACACCATTTGTTAAAACTTTGTTCACTATCATTATTATTCAAAAGTGTTATTACCTTTTTGAAATCGCACTGCAGTGCTTGAAAGTGTTGGCATTGGATCGTGCAATGTTTTAGTCCTGTAATTTTGTTCACAGACAGCCCCATTTACAATGCAATACACTTCAAACTTATCAGAGGGTGTATACCACGATGATAAATGAATCGTTGCACACTTCTTTCAGAATATACCCTATGTTTTGACCTTCATTTCAATTAGCAAGGCTTAGCGTAACTTTAGCCCTCGAATATGACGTCATATGCAAAATGAGCATGTGTTAATCTATATGAATGTTAAAAAAAATGAACGTCAAAACTAAACTGACTGGGAACATTGTAGTTTGCTTGTTGTTGGGCTCGCAGTCGACTGAAAATATGCAAATAACCGAAAAGGTCCCTGAGCAATTCAATGAAATGAAACCTCTCAAATTGAGAATAGGATTTTGATTTTCATCGTTCATTTCAAAATCTTATTGTTGAAAACTAAATGTCGCCAACACAAGAATAACTCCGAGAATCACAGCTAAAATCAAAATTGTGATAATTACAGTCAATTCATCAACTGAAATTACATAAAAAAATAAAAGGTTAGAATCCTGAAAATATTAGAAATTCACTTGGCCGTCATAAGCCACGGATGTGAAAAAAGTAGAAAAAGTTTTTGCTCGATGAAACAATGAAATTGTCTAAATGCATCAGTTGTTTTGGTATGCACATTAACAATCACTGTGCATTCGTATTGGTGGTTTTGATTTTTCATTTTCGAATACTGTTGTGTGTCCTGCATTTTAATATTGCTAAGCCAACTTATGATGATTATCGAATAATAATAAAAAAAAAAATACATGTTTCGCGTTCATATTGCATATTTGAAATAGTGCAATAATTGTATTTTCAATGTTGAAATTCATATACATGTACCCCGGAATTTTGGAATTTCTTCTATACTACTATTTTTTTACTAGACTAGTGTAAAAATGTCTAGAGAAAAGTCTGCAAGTTATGAAAAATATTTTGAAACAAAGTAGAAATGAGTTATATGTGCTACAACATCCAGAGCAATTTCAATGAATACAATTCAGGGGTTTTCTATATAAATGTAAGTTCGAGAACGACTTACATACCTTCGAAATCATGATTGAAATGGCACAGCATAGGGGTCAAAGGTCAAATAAAATACATGACCCGTGAACCTGGATCTTTTATCGTTTTCTGAAATTTGATTTTTCAACGTTAATCGGAAAGCACGAAGTAATAATTAATTTTTGCTGAATTAATTCAAACTCTAATTTGTACTTTTTGGTTGGTAACAAGGTTGGTTACCCGGCCCATTTTCCATCGGGCCATACAGGGTCAATTCACTGCGCTTGCGCAAACAGATATTATAATCTCTTTTTATTCCAAGATGGCTGCGTGTCTGAAGCTGCAAACGAATTTGCTCCGGAGACTTTCTGCGGAAAAGCTGGTGTGTTTTATATTATACTCATAACGTTGAACTATTTGATCAATGTGTTGTCTTTATATTTCACTGCAAAATTCGTTTTTTTAGTAAGTAGTTTTAGCGGAAAGTGAATCGCTTTGTTGTACGTGACCGGTTATGAAAGCCGGTTACTGTCGAGGTCAAAAAAGGTCGTCTGGGAAAGACGTCTTGTCTAATAGCTGGCTATCACTATTTGAGCTATGTTGCAGAAATTATTTCCATGAACTTGTACGGTTAAAATAAGCAGGAAGCTGAAACGTGACGATATATTTGGTTCTGCGTTTTACCGTTCCATTCACCGCCCGTGGTTTTACTGTAAGCTTGGGAATGTTCAATAAATAGTGTACGTGCAGAGTCTATACCCCGCGCCGTCATGCCGTAATATCAATATTATGTACAGTACCGGTATGCTCTTTTCATGTTCACTATTGGAAACATCAGTGCTGAGATTTTTGCAAACATTCTGAAGTCTTATCGAAAGTACCATAACAAAATATTTAGAACTTTTTGTGGTGATGTCCTGGTAATGTCAGAGTCGTGTACTTGTACTTGTCCTTGAATTTGTATTTTCTCTTGTATTTTCTCTTGTAAGCAATAATGAGCTAGTCAAAGCGGGTTTGTTCGGGTTTCTCCTGAATTTCAATGTTCTAAGTTGCAGCCTTCAGAATATCAGTATTCTATTAGTAAAATCAGTGCTACACAACTTGGAGTATATATTATCTCCATTTGTTGACGTTGTTGCAACCAAATATAGTTTATGGTTTATACTATGGTTTACTCTAATATTTTCTGTAAATGAGCCAACAAAATAATTTTTTTTTCATCATTTCCAAAAGTGAATCTTGGTGAATCATGGTCAAGGTTAACAAGTGCAATGTATTGTATGTAGAATTGTAACAAGTAAGCCCAGAACCAATAGTGTCTTCCATGAAACATTTTCTAAAGAGTTACATAACCAAATTAGCATGGCAAAGGTGTAGTAAAAGCAGCCATATTATGTTTGTCAGAGTGGATAAAATAAATGTTTTTTTGAAAGTGCAGAATGCTTTTCAATACTATTTTAACGTTGACATTAAACTTTCACTAACATGACTGGAATACATTTTTTCCTTTTATCTAAAAGTGAATAACAGAAAATTATTCATGTTTAGCAGGTGCCAATTATCCATTTTCTACCACTTTAATCAACTGGTCACCTAATGAGGACAATTTGTACAGTATTGTCTTAGTTGTTTCAGTCGCTACTTATAGTATCTTATTTAAAAAACTAATGACATAATAACTCAGTACCTCTGTTTCAGACCCCTATTTTTAACTCTCTTAGGGACATCAAAAGTTCATTGTAGGATAAAAAACTTAATTCCTTTAGTTTTTTTCCAAACACCTCTACCCCCCTCTGAAACTTAATTAATAAAAATTGACCATGGCGTCAGACTACATTCAGCATTAAATACAAATTGATAATCGGACAGTAGTATGGCATAGCAGTTGGTTGTCGGGTGGGTGTAAAAAGACTTAACATTCGAACCAAACCATTTTGGTCTTGAATGTTTTTTAGTCCACGTTCGAAGTCCAAAAACAGGGACTTATAATTCGGCGTCCGTCCGGAGTCGTATCTCAGAATCCCTTGGACCGATTCCGTTCATTCTTTGCATGTGCCTAGTACTTTATGTGGGACATGTGCACATGCAGTGGTTTAGCAATTCGATTCAAAATGGCCGACTGGCAGCCATCTTGTTTTTTGAAAATGTTGTATATTGGACATGCATTGTCAGTTGTCATTCAAACTTTGTACATAGATTATACATGTTAGGATTCATGTCCATGGCGATGAATTTCGCAATTGGATCAAAGATGGTCGACTGGCAGGCATCTTGTTTTTTTTTTTATCCAGTATCTTGGACGTGCTCTGTCAGTTTTCATTCAAATTTGGCACATACATGTACATTGTACTTTATACATGTTAGGATGCATGTCCATGACAATTTGTTTAAAAATCTGGTCAAGGATGGCCGATTGACAGCCATCTGACTTTTTGGCCTTACTACTATATTTCCACAATTTATGTACCATCTTCATTCGTATTTGGCAGAAAGATCAGACATATCAGTGTGTTTCATAATCAGATCAAAGATGGCCGAATAACGACTGTTTTTATTTTTGGCCATATTACTACTACAAGGAACGCGCGTTTTGATGTAAATAAACAATCTGTTGTATACGCCACTTGGAACTCAAGTTTCAAGGACACGCTCGCGACAACCCCTCCGCTTTAATAATGATGAGCACAAAGAGAACTTTTAAAAATTTAACGGGGACTGTGTCATCTTCAATGACTTGTTTTTTTCATTTTCTGTTATTTTTGTCCATAGTTGGATAGAAAAAAAAACGAACTACAAATACTCCAAGATTTTTTGACTTCATTAAAAAATAAAATCATTTTTGTAGGATGGAAACTTTTTGAGGTCAAAACCCCCCACCCCCAAACTAAAGAAAATAAGTTTTTTATCCGACATTGATCTTTTGACGTCGTCCCTTATAGCTGTACGATATTGAAGGTTGCATGATTCCATTGCATGTTCCAATCTGTCTCATTCGTTATGTAATGCTGCGAATTTTGCCTGCTAGTGTCCGGTTTTGTGTAAGTTGTCTTTTAAAGAGGTCCCAATTAAATTTCCACTGTTTTCGAAAATTCTATCATTACCACTGACATAAATTAATGACGATTTGCCTTTCATGCAATTTAAGATGTTTACAGTATACATAGATAATTATGGTTGCTGTATTTGAACCCAATTCATTGTTATTGATGTTTTATTGCAGACCAGCAGCATCAGCCAAACAGCAATAAGACCGGCAACATCAAGAGGTTTCCATTTTACTGTGCAGGGCAAACAAACAGATGCCGCTGCTAAAAGAGACCAAGTAAGTTTTAACCCCAACTACTGTTAATTGCAATGATAGTTCCCTTGTTAAATTAAGCTATATTTGTATATTTGGGCTAAGTGCCCTCTGTGGCGACCTTTGGATATGAATATTATGCACGTGATCAGTGTGAACAAAACTTCGTTCCCTTGCAAAAACTGGAGCGGCTAAATATTGATACTCCTCGCCGAGAAACAGAAAAAAGGCTTACCAGGATATTCAAGCTACATTAGAAGGATTTTTCGTAAACAACGGCTCAACAAAGGCCACAGACTGAAGGTGCCCCTTAGCCCGTGCTAAGGACTGGCCCTCCCAATGCGTGGACGCAATTGGGTCCAGCCGAAATGCAAATACGAGATGAGCCTAAATCAGCTTAAATCTTAGCCTGTACTTTATGTAGCATGAACACTACTAATACTATAAATGAAATGTATCATGGGAGTATCATGCATTGAGGAAATGGCAATTTCTTCAAATTCTCTTGCATGAACTAATATCATTGTAGTAGTAATTTTACTTAAAATTCAATTTTGAAAATTTGATGCACAATCCTTCCGACTTTATGTTCTTGTATTAAAATTAATGATTTTCATTTTTTTTTTTAGATTTCCCGCGATTATCCAGTTGTAGACCACACATTTGATGCTATTGTGGTTGGAGCTGGAGGTGCTGGATTGAGAGCCGCTTTCGGTTTGGCAATTGATGGTTTTAAAACAGCATGTCTTTCAAAATTATTCCCAACAAGGTCACACACTGTAGCAGCGCAGGTAATTTTGTTGAACTTTGTCTCAATTTTAGTATGCATGGTCTTTAATATGGTATTTTTACAATTAAACGATGATTTTTTCATGCTTAGGATACATTACATAAGGCCCATTTTTAACACTATGCACCACAACAAATTTTTTAACACTTAAATTGATAATGTTTTTTCCTACACAAGTAAATTTGTTCACTTTCTGTAATTTTCACAAATTGCAATCTTAATTTTTAACCAAACAGACAAAATGTGACATTACTTCTAGATTTTGATCAAAAAATTTCAAATTTGCGCAACATTTTATGTAAATAAAACTAATTTGTGGATGATGCCTGAAGCTGACGTTGGTGCTCAAAGGCCTAATACACCAACAGTGGCTGTGATTGTATTTTTGTCAAAAGAAATTTTCAGTTATTGTATGAAATTGCACTTGTACTAAGATGACTCAATTAAGAAAATAAATTGCCTAATTATATTGTTTCATACAATATTTAGAGAAATAGGTAGATCATTAAGAATATGCAAACCCCCTGTAAGGAGGCTGTATGTGTACTATTAACCACGAAAAATTGCATTTGCAGGGTGGCGTAAATGCAGCGTTAGGAAACATGGAACCTGATGAGTGGAGATGGCACATGTGAGTTTATAATTCTTTACAATTATATATACATTCAATGTCTTAGTAATATCTGATCCTTGATTTTCATCAGTTATATTAAACACCAAAACACTTCACATGTTTAACGGACATAGTACAAAATGTAGTAGTTCAAGCCACACATCACAAAAATTTTCAGTATTAATATGGGGTTAGATTTTTATTTTGAAACAATGGGAGAGTGTGAATATAAATGTTATGTATAATGGAATCAGTTTTTAAAGGAAAAATCATATTGCTGATCATACGTGTCTTAAAATAATTCATGCAACTTTTTGACTTCTGAGGTTGATGTAATTGGTGTTTATATCTGTCAACTTTTTTTTTTTACGTTTTACTGTACATTGTAAATAATTTGTTAACGCACAATATACTTTATTAGGTTTGATACAGTGAAAGGTTCTGATTGGTTAGGAGATCAAAATGCAATTCATTATATGACACGAGAAGCTCCAAAAGCTGTAATTGAGGTACGTAACCATGGTCTTATCATTTTGTGTATCCACCCTTTGGTAATTTTACTTGAAAATTTTGAGGAAACCCTTAATAACATTCACAGATATCCCCTAAATAATAGAAGTGAAATTGAGATCCAATAATTTAGATGCTCTTCATATGAATATGAACAGTGTGAAAAGCATCATCTATCTAAATAACATTGTTCAATCAATGTAAACACTGATTGATCACCACTGTTTTCCACATGCGTCATTTGAACGACATTGTGACCCATTAGTAGGGTAGCAGTTCTTTCAAACTCTCCCAAGCTAAATTTTGCTATCAGTCAGCCACTGGTTAAATTTCAGTAATGTGCTTTCAATACTTCATTTATGCTGAAATGCACTATGAAAAATAACTGTGTATAATGGTATATCCATTTGGCAAGTCAAAAACACTGTACGAAGCATATTTAGAACAGAAAACAGTTTATAGACAAACTCACATTAGCCAAAAGTATTCTAAATGAGAAAATGTTAGATTGTAGGATGATTTATATCACTACGCACTCCTTAGTAAACATTGCCATAGCATAGTGGGAACAAGTATTCACTTTCTTCTCTGAACTAAACTTTTCCCCTACAAATAGCAAATATAGTCAGTATATGTGAAAATAAATCACATAGGGTTGTGAATGATCATAATACTGTAAAATGACTAATTTTCACTGGGTTTAAATTTCACTGATTTACCATTTCGGGCATATTCAGTGGGTTTTAAATTCACGGTTTCATCATTTAGATAATGTGTTCTATGCTAAATTTTACATATTCACTGGGTTTTAATTTAGCGCATTTTTCCAGTCAGCGAAATAAGCTAAATTAAAACCCAGTGAATATTACCCCCTTTACAGTACTTCACTAA